ATCCTTCTCTTCATGAAAACGGGCCACGTCCCATCAGGCCATCACAGAGAAGCCACATGCACCACCGCTCAAACCGTGTTAGCCTCTTAGGCGAAATCAACTTACTATGAAATAAAAGTCCAACTAATCAAGAGGGCCTAACATGAATTCAGCATCACCTCTGACTCTACTTCACTCGAATTCCAGTATCATCATTCATCTACCCCGGAGTATATGGAGTTTTGTTTTTGTGTCTAATACGGCCATTAGAGCGGCACGCGTCTGCATCCAAAAGCGGCCATCCCAGTCTAATTAGCTTCTATTATTGTTTCTGCCTTCAAATCTTGCGGTCTGACCATTCCACTCTTTCAATTGACCGCAACCCCTCACATCCATTTCTGTTTACTTCAATTCATATAATCTCTGTCCATTCGTCTTCGCACTTCGTTGGTTTCCTCTACTAAGAACGGACGTTCGGCCCACTAAGCTCCTCCCACTCGGTCTACCTCTTTTACTGTTTACTCTTTGCTCTAATGCTGATATCCAAATGGGTTCAAGCATCGTGGCTGGCTCTAATACATCTTGGAAATCACCCTCCGGTGACTTTGCTTTCGGGTTCTACCCTCTCGTTGATGCTCGCTACCTTGTCGGAATTTGGTTCGACAAGATTCCCCAGAAAACTCTGGTCTGGTCCGCAAATCGTGATGATCCGTCTCAGATCGGATCCTACATTAATCTCACGCAGAGTGGCTAGTTGGTCTTCCATCATGGGAATGGGTCATCAGTTTCAATCTCCAACGGAACAGATACTGCTTCTGCTTCAATGCAGGATAATGGAGACTTTGTCTTGAAAAACTCGCGTTCAGACACCCTCTGGAAGAGCTTTGCTTCGCCGACAGATACCATTCTACCAGGCCAAAACTTGGTCATGGGTCAGATTCTTTACTCCAGTGCGAATGGAATACAAGATTAGTCGACTAGAAATTACAAGTTGGAAGTCCAAGCTGCTGATGGCAGTCATCGCTGCTTTCAGGTACTACGGTCCGGCTTATTGGTACACTGGAACAGCCAACCACAGCGTCAGCTTAGCCTTCGACAACAAAACAGCTCTCCTTTATGCCGTGAATGGCACCCAAAATATATACCAAATGACAACCCAAAACCAACTGCCTAACCCCATTGAAGATTACTACCATCGAGCAACAATTAACGATCATGGTAACTTCCAGCGGTTGATTGTCCATAAAGAAAACGGAAAAGAGTGGACGCCTATATGGAGTGCCATAACAGAGCCCTGCACAGTGGTTGCCATTTGTGGAGTGAACGGCTTTTGCACTTCGCCTAGCAATAATGTGGTCAATTGTGGCTGCTTGCCTGGGTATACACCTTTTGATCCTTATGTCCCCTCCAAAGGCTGTTATCCCAGCTTGGTGATGGATTTCTGCGCTACAAATTTATCTACCTCAGACTTCACTGTGCAAGCAATTTCAGATGCTGATATTCCCAACGATGAATATGCTGATATGCAATCGATACCAAATTCTGATTTGAATAGTTGCACGAGTGAAGTGATGAATGATTGTTTCTGCATGGCCGGTGTTATAAGTGGCACTGATTGTATTAAGAAGAGGACACCTCTTTTGAGTGGAAGAGTAAGCATCCCTTCCTCTAGGAATAGAGTTGCGTTGGTTAAAGTTCCTCTGGCTCACAAAGACCGTGGAAAGGACTCACCTTCTTGGTTGTTCTGCTCGTTTCATTCTTGTCTTGTTCCCTGCTCTCTCTTGTGTTTGCAGCTTCTGCTATTCATCATAACCTAAAGTTTCGTCGTTGGATACGTAAGGAGCCACCTCCCAACCCAAAGCCAGTGGACATAAATCTAAAGACGTTTTCATTTCAAGAGTTGAGAGAGGCAACAAAGGGGTTCAAGAACAAACTTGGTCAAGGAGTATTTGGCACTGTGTATAGTGGGATTTTGACGATGGAGGGCGAACAGGTTGAGGTTGCCGTGAAACAACTGGAAAAAGCAGAGGATCAGGATGAGATTCGTGAGAAGGAGTTTGTGACCGAAGTTCAACTCATTGGTCTGACTCATCACAGGAATCTTGTCAGGTTATTAGGCTTCTGTAATGAACAAAATCATCGTCTCCTAGCTTATGAGATGATGAAAAAAGGGTCGCTCTCCAGTTTACTTTTTGGGGAAGGGGATAAACCCAGATGGGAAGACAGAGCCAAGATTGCGCTTGAAGTTGCAAGGGGCTTGCTATATTTGCATGAAGAATGTGACTCGCAAACCATCCATTGCGACATAAAGCCACAGAATGTTCTTCTTGACACCAATTATACGGCAAAAGTTTCTGATTTTGGCGTTGTAAAGCTGCTAAAGCAAGACAGAACTCGAACCAGCACCAACGTTAGAGGGACAATAGGATATATGGCAGCAGACACAAAGGTTGATGTGTCTAGCTTTTGGGTCATGTTACTGGAGACCATATTTTGCAGAAGGCACATAGAGCTGCGTCAAATTGAAGGCGAAGGAGAGGGTGACGACATGATACTAATAGATTGGGTTCTATACTGGATAAAATAAGGGAACTTGAGAGTGATGGTGGATCGTGATCTTGAAGTTTCAAATGATTTCGATAGATTTGAGAGGACGACTATGGTCGGATTATGGTGCCTGTCTCTGAACCCAACGGTGCGACCATCTATGAAGAAGGCGACACAGATGCTGGAAGGCATAACAGACGTTGGTATTCCTCCTCTCGTTGATGCCCAAAGATTTTAACTTCCTCTTTTTCGGGGGAACAACTTTTTGATTAAATTCGCTTGCCTAAATTTATGTGTTTGCATATTTCACGTAATGTTGTAATTTTAGACAAACCACTTATTCAATTAATGAGAAGTTTCGAGATTTAAGATTCTATTTCTTTGCCCTTAGCATTTCTTTTTCTTCTTTACTGACGCCAGGCATATCCACTAGCCTTGTTTACCGTTATTCTTCTAGTAACGATGAACATTTAAAAATTTTGATGGCTTATCAATTTTATTGAGAAGTTTGCTCTAGTCATATTGTTTTGGCAATGAATCCTTGTGCTGTTTTTAATATTACAATTAAATTTTCCTTTTAAATCAGCTCTTACTCGATTAGATGCATACATACAGGATATGCGTCTTTCGTGCAATTATTTCTATTTTATTCTTGCATCAATTTTTTTCCCCTTTATTTTCTGTTAACAGGAAAAATGTTTCTATGAACTTTATAAAACAATTCTATGAACAGTGGTAGATACATTCTTTAGTAGAATGTGAGCCTTATCCCTAAGATAAACAGAAATTGATTTCTTATGTACCTGGAAATGCTCCAAATAATCTTCAATTACAGCAATGGCGACTTTTTCTTCATTAAATAAAATGTATTCCCTTTTTCTTCGTAACAGTGAAGGCCCAATCAGTAGAAGGAAGTAGTCTAGGTTTGGTCCTCACGATACGCTGCTGAGAATGGGCTAGTGGTCTAAAAATTTTGAAGGGGACAAATGAAGATACTGATTTGATACCGAGAAAAGTGACCCCAAAAAATTTTGTAAATGTTAAATAAAAAATTTTAACAAAATCCCTTGATACTGCTCTTATTACCTGGCTTTCTTGGGTATTTTTTCCTATAAGAAAATTTTTTGGGGAATCGTTTATCCTTATTTACAAGAGACTTCAACAATTTGTCGGAAATATTTATCATATTTTTTTTTATTTCTGTCCCCATTGATTATTGTACTAATATTAGTTAGTCAAACTCAATTAATTATCCAAGTAACTATTATTTACATGCAATAGTCAAGGGATATTTTTTAAAAATAATTTGTACTTTTTAACATATGTATTGCAGTTACCCAATTTTAATCATAGTTGTATCTATGCAGTTCAATTATTTATATCTTATAAAAAAGGAGTATAACTTATGAAAGATTACAACTGTCAATTACCAAAATTGCTTTTAAAAAAATCATTTTATCAATTAATAATATTTTATACACTTCTTATCTTCATGAAGAATAAGACTCGAAAGTAGAGGAATAGGAGAAGAACACTTCTTTCCGGGCCATCTTGTCTTGTTGGTGTTTTCAATTCGACTGCATTACTTTCCTTAGGAAGCCGATTGCCAATCAAATTCAAGGTGTTGTTCAAAGATTTATACGAGGGACCCACCACAGCAGAAAAATGCTACTACAACTAACAATATAGGAAGTGTTTAGATAAAAACCAAACTATAATTTCAGAAGTGCTTTTACGGATTACGAAGTAAATATATGGAGGAGGTTACCTCGTTTTACGGAAAAGTACTTCTGAAACTATGGTTTTGAGAATGCCAAACACCCCATAGTCTTGCGTTGTGACTTGATTAGATAGGAGTAGGACCAATTCCGAGTGGCCACAAATGGATATGACCAATCCCACTAACGTAGCATCATTCAAAGTGCGGGGGCAAAAAAAGAAAAAGAAAGAAAGAAAAGCATCATTCAACGCGCAATGCGCCCCAACTATATTCAATGATTGTAGTAGACAGCTTCAGTAATCCGTTAGAGGCCACGCAAGACGTTGAATCTTTCAGAAGTAGTAACACGTACAAATTCATCATCTTTTGACTCTATCACTTGCTCACCTGCAAAACTCTGTATGGTAACATTTTAAGTTGCTACTTATCCAAACGCAAGGTGCAAAGTAGCCATCCCAATTAAACCTAACCAACTTTCAATATTACTACCTTCGATCCTTGATATAAGACCCTGTTTGACTTTTATTTTGATCTTAAATATAAGACCCCAATCCATTTTTATCTCTTATATTTATATTTTTTTTTCCCAAAGTAACCCTTCTAACAATGATAGTTTTAGTCAATACACTTGATTAGCAAGGATATTTTAGGAAAGACAACACCTATTTAGGACAAATAACTAACTCAACTTACTTCCTTAATCTCCTCAAATTAGTCAACTGGGTCTTATAATTAGGACCGGAGGTAGTATTTGTGTTCAAATCTTCCAGCTGGCAGATATGTCATCTTCATCGTCAGAAAAAGATCAAATCAAACCATAGGGTTGGACAATTCCATTGTCCGAATTAACTGCATCTCCTCATATACGCTTCTGCATATAATTTCTTTCGTTTTTAGCTTTTACACCTAGCTGGTCTCCCTCGCCAATCTCTCTTTCTTACCCACGATTTAATGGATGTTCATGTTCCCACTAAACTCCTTGCGCTCTGTGTCCCTTTTTTCCTGTTTCTTCTATGCTCTAATGCTCAGACGAGCTCAAATTCTATCCAACTGGGCTCAAGCATCGTTGCTGGCTCTAATAAATCTTGGACATCACCTTCTGCTGATTTTGCTTTTGGGTTCTACCCTCTCCCCCATGGTCGCTACCTTGTGGGTATTTGGTTCGATAAGATTAATCCCCAGAAAACTCTGGTCTGGTCCGCAAATCGTGATGACCCGGCTCAGATTGGATCCACCATCAATCTCACACTCAGTGGCCAGTTAGTGCTGCTTCATGCCAATGGTTCGTTAGTTTCCATCTACAATCAAACAAATAATGCTTCTTCTGCTTCAATGCTGGATAATGGAAACTTTGTCCTGAAAAACTCACTCTCAAACATCATCTGGGAGAGCTTTGCTTCACCCACAGATACCATTCTACCAGGCCAAAACTTGGTCATGAGTCAGATTCTTTATTCAAATGCCAATGGAACACTAGACTACTCGACGGGGAATTACAAGTTGGAGGTCCAATCTGATGGAAACATTGTTATCGCTGCTTTCAGGTATTCCGGTCATGCTTATTGGTTCACTGGAACAATCGAAAACAATAGCGTCAGCATCGTCTTCGACAACAATACAGCTATGCTTTACGCCGTCAATGGCACCCGAAACATTTACCAAATGACAACCCAAAGCCAGCTGCCCAACCCAATCGAAGATTTCTACCATCGAGCGACAATCAACGATCATGGTAACTTCGAACAGTTGATTTTTCATAAAAAAAACGGAACAGAGTGGACGCTTATATGGGATGCTATAACAGAGCCCTGCTTAGTGGATGCTATTTGTGGGGTAAATGGCTTTTGCACTTCACCTGACAACAAGGTGATCAATTGTAGCTGCTTGCCTGGGTATACACCTTTGGATCCTTATGTTCCCTCCAAAGGCTGTTATCGTAATTTGGAGATGGATTTTTGCGCTGCAAATTCATCTGCCTCGGACTTCACTGTGCAAGAAATTTCAGATGCTGATATACCCAACTTGAATTTTGCTGATATGCAGTGGATACCTAATTCAGATTTGATTAGTTGCACGAGGGAAGTGATGAGTGATTGTTTTTGCATGGCTGGTGTTTTGATTGGCACTGATTGTTTCAAGAAAAGGACACCTCTTTTGAATGGAAGAATAAGCATCCCGACGACCAGTAAAAGGGTGGCGCTAGTTAAAGTTCCTGTGGTTCGCAAAGATGATGGAAATGACTCACCTTCTTGGATTGTTCTGCTTGTATCATTCATATCTTGTTCCCTGCTCGCTCTTGTTTTTGCAGCTTCTGCTGTTCATCATAACCCAAAGTTTCGCCGTTGGATACGTAAGGAGCCACCTCCCAACCCAAAGCCAGTGGACATAAATCTAAAGACGTTTTCATTTCAAGAGTTGAGAGAGGCAACAAAGGGGTTCAAGAACAAACTTGGTCGAGGAGCATTTGGCACTGTGTATAGTGGGATTTTGACGTTGGAGGGCGAACAGGTTGAGGTTGCCGTGAAACAACTGGAAAAAGCAGAGGATCAGGATGAGATTCGTGAGAAGGAGTTTGTGACCGAAGTTCAAGTCATTGGTCTGACTCATCACAGGAATCTTGTCAGGTTATTAGGCTTCTGTAATGAACGAAATCATCGTCTCCTAGTTTACGAGATGATGAAAAATGGGTCGCTCTCCAGTTTACTTTTTGGGGAAGGGGATAAACCCAGATGGGAAGACAGAGCCAAGATTGCGCTTGAAGTTGCAAGGGGCTTGCTATATTTGCATGAAGAATGTGACCCACAAATCATCCATTGCGACATAAAGCCACAGAATGTTCTTCTTGACTCCAATTATACGGCAAAAGTTTCTGATTTCGGCGTTGCAAAGCTGCTAAAGAAAGACAGAACTCGAACCAGCACCAACGTCAGAGGGACAATGGGATATATGGCACCAGAATGGCTCAAGAATGCTCCCGTCACGGCAAAGGTTGATGTGTATAGCTTTGGGGTCATGTTGTTGGAGACCATATTCTGCAGAAGGCACATAGAGCTACATCCGAGTCAAGATGAAGGAGAGGGTGAGGACATGATACTCATAGATTGGGTTTTATATTCAGCAAAAGAAGGAAATTTAAGAGTGATGGTGGATCACGATGTTGAAGCTCTAAATGATTTCAATAGGTTTGAGAGGATGACTATGGTTGGATTGTGGTGCCTGTCTCCTAATCCAGCGGTTCGGCCAACTATGAAGAAGGTGACACAGATGTTGGAAGGAGCCATGGAGGTTGGTGTTCCTCCTTTGATTGATGCACAAATGTGACAACTTAATTTGTAACCAAATTTGTATCCCTTTTCAATTTTTTTTTTCCTGGCATATTCCGCCATATGATTTTAATCGAACGAATTTCGTTTGAAGGCCTTCGCTTAGTGCAGTAATTTTATGCGAACCATTTTAACTCACGTAAAGCTCCGACTTTTAGATTCTGTTTGTTCACCACACATGGAAGTGACACACAAATTAGGCTCTCTTGCCTAGTCTGATACTGTACAATTTAGCATTTTTATGAGATTACAAACTAAAATTTATTAATGCAATTCAGAACAGAAAGGCATAATATTTGTATTTTTTGTGTGACAATATTTGTATTATTTTAATGTGTATTAGATGGGTTTCTTTCACGAACTAGGCATTTGGATTACATTTAAAAATTAAAGTACATCATGGATTTTATGAAAAACTATTATCAAAGCTTATTCTAAAAGTTGTATGGAATATGATACAAAGTAACAAAAATTAAACGGTACAATATACTCTCTCAAAGGGATTTTAAATAATTCACAAAATCAACTAAATAACTAGTACTCCCTCTGTTTGAGTTTTATATTTCATTCTTAATAAAAAAAAATTTGTTTCTATCTAGCTTTATGTCGTTTTACAATTACAAGATAGTATTGATTACTACTTGTTCAAATATACTCTTATACTATAGTACCGTAAATTATTTTACTATATATACATACATATTAATTACTACTTTTTAATAGGACTTTTTAAAAGTGAGAATTTTATTTCATTATTTTTTTGTTGATCTTTGTGAAAAACCTCTAATATCATGTGAAAAAATAGAGGGAGCGTCATATAACTCCAATAAATATCTTAAAAAAAAAAAAAAGGATTGCAACAAGTTGAACCGGTCTTTCAGTATGCTTTCTCATCGGGTCTAACTCGCACGCAGCATTTCCTAAATAAATGAAGTCAACTATCGTAAAAGTTTACAATGATATCATCATGATCCAAAACACAGTGGAGAAGTAATTGACGTAAACATCGGTTGCAACTTTCAGTCTATATAGTAGTGTTTGGACTTCTGAATCATGCCGGTCGCATCAAGTTCATTTATGAGGCCGCCATTGTGGAATTAAGCATTAGATTGACTAGCAATAGTCAAAAGTCTATGCAATACTGCAATTATACGTCATTGCAATTTGTCAAACCGCTATTTTCTCGTGTGATCCATGACCTGAAGGACTGAAAACCTCAGGAGTCTGAATTTCCATATAAGCTCCTCATACCTCTTCCTTTCTTGTTCTTCTCTGCACATGAATTCGTAATGGCTTCCTCTGTAATCCTACTTTGCATTATTGCGCTAGTTTCATTATTAACCGTCTTACATGCCCAGAATTCTTCCTCCACCATAAATTTGAACTCCAACATCACTGCTGGATCAAATTCTTCTTGGAAATCTCCATCAGGTGATTTTGAATTTGGATTCTACCATCTTCCCGGGGATTACTATCTGGTCGGAATATGGTTTGCTATCCCTGAGAAAACTCTGGTTTGGTACTGGAACCCACCTGTGGAAACCAATTCAGTGATCCAACTCTCTTCGGGAGGCCACCTTTTGCTCATATATCCAAATGGAACCTCTGTTCGGATAGACAATGGAAATGGAGATAATGCAAGCTCAGCTTCCTTGGAGAACAATGGCAATTTTGTATTGAAAGACTCCAATTCAAGACCTGTCTGGAAGAGTTTTGATTCTCCCACTAACACAATGCTACCGGGGCAAGTCTTAAATGCGAATGGTGCACTCTATGCCAAAGGCAAAGGACCTCTGAACTACTCAAATGGAAACTTCAAGGTATTGATGCAAGACGATGGGAACTTGCTACTCTCTGCTTATCTATGGTCAGATCCTGCTTATTGGTACTCTGCAACAACATCATTCAAAAACGTAAGTTTGGTATTCAATCTTAGTGCCTTCTTGTACCTTACCAGTGGCTCCATCAACATACGTTTTTTGACAAATAACCCTCCATCCCCAACTGAAGATTTTTATCACCGAGCAACAATAGATGAAAATGGAAATTTTCATCAATATGCTTATAATCGGAGAAATGGCAGTAGGTGGATAAGGGTCTGGAGAGCCATTGATGATCCTTGCAGAGTGGATGCTATTTGTGGAGTGAATGGCTTGTGCACTTCACCTGACAATGAAACAGTGCAGTGTGAATGCCTTCCAGGTTTTGTCCCATTTAATATGACAAATGAATACCTAGGATGTCGCCCAGAAACTGTGATTAATTATTGTGCACAAGATCCTTCTAGGTTGAACTTCAAGCTGGAGGTTTTTGATGATACTGATTTTCAGTTTGACTCCTTGTCAGACTTTGCTGAGCTGAAAACTGCAGATTTAGAAGCTTGTGAGAAGTATGTCATGGATGATTGTAATGTCGTTGCTGCTACCTTCAATGCTACATCTTCAACATGTATCAAGAAGAGGATGCCGTTGGTGAATGCGAGAAAGAGTTCATCTTCTAAGGGGCAAAAAGCTCTACTTAAGGTTCCTACTTACAACAACGCCTCTGGAGGATTGGAAGGTTCGAAGAAGAAGAGTTTTAATGTCAGAGTTTTTCTCAAGGTCATGCTTGCTGTTAGTTCCACCCTTGCATGCTTGTTTGGAGCCCTTGCTGTCTATTACCACCCTTTAGCTCAAAGACTAATGAGACGAAGCAAGTTTCTGAACGCAAGTGCCATTGGAATCAACTTCAGAGAGTTCACATTCCAAGAGCTTCATGAAGCAACAGGTGGATTCAATAAGACTATTGGTAAAGGATCTTCGGCCAAAGTCTATAGTGGAAATCTTGTTATTGATGATTCGACAATTGCGATTGCAGTGAAGAAGCTAGAAAAGAAAGTTGAGACAAGTGATCAGGAATTTATGACTGAGCTCAAAATAATTGGTCGCACACATCACAGAAACCTGGTAAGACTTCTGGGTTTTTGCATTGAGAAGAGCCATAGACTTCTTGTCTATGAGTTACTTCCAAGTGGAGCGTTGTCCAATTTTCTGTTTGGACAAAGAGAAAAACCTCCTTGGAGTCTAAGGATTGATATAGCTCTTGGGATTGCAAGGGGCTTGCTTTACTTGCATGAGGAGTGTGAGACCCAGATTATACATTGCGACATCAAGCCCCAAAACGTGTTACTGGATGCCGATTATACGGCGAAGATTGCAGATTTTGGGCTGTCCAAGCTTCTCAACAAAGAGCAAACCAGAACAAACACTAACTTCAGGGGGACTATAGGGTACATAGCCCCTGAATGGCTAAGAAGTGCACCTGTAACTGCTAAAGTTGATGTCTTTAGCTTTGGGATTATGTTGCTCGAGATTATTTGTTGCAAAAGGCATGTCGAACAGAATCAAGCAGATGATGAAGAAAGTGATGAAGATGATGATGCATTGCTGGCAAAATGGGTTCTGAAGTGCATCGTGTTGAAGAAACCGGAGCAGTTTGCAGGTCATGACTCAGAAGTACTAAGTGATATGACAAGGTTTGAGGAAATGGCCTTGGTTGGATTATGGTGTATCCATCCAGATCCAGCACTGAGACCAACAATGAAGCAGGTGAATCAAATGCTAGAGGGAAACATGGCTGTTGGGGTTCCTCCATTGCTTTATGAGCAAATGACAGCAGATCTAAGCATATAGCCTTTCAATCTCTGGTTTAGCTTACGGAGATTATTGTCAAGGGAACCTACTATCGTTGTTTGGTGTTATTCTTCACGAATTTAATGGGGCACTCCATCACATCTACCGGTACATTTTAAAATTTTTAAAGCTGTGAGCTTTTTAAGCGGACTTACAAGTTTATACATATGCATCCTTTTTATTGAAAACTCTACAATCCGCCTTATCCTTCTCCTTCAAACCTTTTAGTGGAGTATGAGTCTCATCCGTAGGACAGAACAACAAAGAATTCACTTCTTATGTGATGGTATATCTTTTAATTACTCTAAAATAAAATAATTTCTCTAGATGATCATAAATTCTAACGGCGAATTTTCCTTTGTCAAGGAAAAAAATGTAATAATTTTATTATATTTATTGGGTCCTAATGATATTTTATTTTTTTGTCCATCGATTTGAATTTTGAAGGATTTTTTTTCCCGTCAAATCTTTAATCTCTCTGTCCACGGACGCTTTTTTTCTTTTTTTGTTACAGCATCGGACAAATTGCCATACTACTCGTCTGCCTTTTTCTTTCTTTGTTTTTTTGCCGGGCTTTTTTTTTTTTTTGGTAAACAAGAGGGCAGAAGCCCAAAAACTAAAACAGCAAACTAATGGGGACTATATCCCAAACACTCAGCTTCAAACAAGGTCCTCAAATGAGGAGGACACGAATCAAAAAGAGAGGAGTTAGATAGGCCTCCTTTTGCCAATGAATCTGCAAGTTGATTCTGCTCCCTTAGGACGTTCCGTATTTCCAGTTCCCTTTTTGCCGGGCATATTAGTAGTGTACTGGTGCTGGAAAAGGGTATCGGTCCATAATAAGCCACACGAAAGGCCCAAAATTAAAGCCCAATTTAATCATGAAGAGAAGGAAGCAGTCCAGGTTTGGGTCCTCAACATAACCTGCTGAGAATAGGCCGGTAGCCCAAAAACTGAAGAAGGACCAGTGGAGAGGACGGTTAATGCTGCTCTCTCCTCACTCCTCGGTGGCTTTCTGGTACGTTCATTCTGATCAGCATACAAATTTGATGAGACAATGATATTGAAGGACCAGAAAGGAGAGCATGATTAATGTACGAGTAATTTGAAGAAATCAAGCACAAATTAATATTTCATTATTTCAAACGCTTCACTATAACATGAAAAGTTAAGATTTGAGAGTGCAGTTAGGCAAGTTGACACGGCTTGGTGGCAAGACATTAAGAACTGGATTTCTCTCGAAGAAGTTGGTGGGTCTTAGCTCAAATCCTCCGCTCAACGTTGGCATAACCGGGAAATCTTCCTGGCTAGGAACGTGATGAAACCCCACCGTGTACCACAATACCAAGTCCTTGTTCTCTATGTCCCTGTCCCTCTGGCTCCAAACGGCTAAAGTATCGTCGCCTCTGCTACGATCAACATAGGGTCCTCCTGCCCATTTTTCCGACTTATTATAAGGGGTAACCCACACATTGTAATTTGTGAATGCTGCTCTGTTTTGTGGATAATCGTGGCCACCAAGAGTGGGTGCGACACTGAGCTCGGGATCAAACGATATCCTATTTTATTTCCTTGTTTTGTCTCTTTGTTAGGGTTCACTACTACTAGCTCCGATGCCTTCAACCCTAAGTTTATTCTGGCATCGGCTTCAGTTTTTGCAGTTTTCCTCACAACCTTCCAGTAACTTTTTCTTGGCGTGCTCTGATCATCGGTTACTTTTACAGTCTCCAAATTACTCTTGACAAAGGAGTTGGCCTCTCCATCAATGTCGAGGTCAAGATAATACGTTAGAAAGTGGTCATGGTTGAGAACAATAAAATAAGATATTATGCTGCGGTTTATTTATTGTGGGTTAAGTCATTCACAGCCACTGCCTAATAAATTAATAAAATAAGATTCTTTAGTTAATCTCTTTGGATGATACTCAAATGATTATCATATTTATTGTTGTGAGTTTACGTAGCATCGTTGGGGAAATTATGGCAGCCACAGGCACGTTTCCAATCAGAGCCAAGTGAAAATAACGGAAGAAGAGAAGCTCATAATTTGGGGAACCTTTTATTGTTCACAGACAAGCCCTGCAGTGAAGTCCTGAGGCCCATTGTGACAGCCCAGAAATTTGGCGTATCATGCGTCGCGTTGTTCCGATAGATTTTAACTTGACATGAATGGCGCGTTTGTCTTGTTTCCATGATGAACGGATTCTTCATTCATTTTTTGTCTTCCCAAGTTTATATCAGACTTAAATTTTTAAAACTCGCCAATCATATCTTTTTGCTAAGCATACATTTTTTTTAATTAAAAACAATCTACTCTCAGGAACTAAATATGAATTTATTTTTCAGTAAGAATTCAAATCTTAACTTATTACATTATAAAGAACTAGTCACTTCTACTTAAGCCAATCCCGATGGTAAACTCTCTAATCATATCCACGTTTTGTTTGTTTGTGATCAAATTAACGCTGACTGCCACATTTTCTTTAGCGGCGCCCCAAACATGCATGTGGCTCCTTACCCCAAATATTGACAATTCGCGCAATATAAATTGGGGGAAAATCTCCCCAAAAAATTATAAATTATTAAATCATAAATCAAAAATTTCTATAAAGATAGTAGTATATTGTTATTTGATCATACTCAAACTAAGCTGCGTTTTGTTTTTTTCAACCTTCTGTACGTCTCTTTCACTGGGCATTAGTCTTGATGCCGAAAAGAAATTTAATCTTCCCTTGTTTATTTTCCGCCCCTCGAACATTTACATGTGATTGATTCTTGTTAGCTATAATTTATACTGCCATTTATTGATTTTACATTACTAGACTTTAAAAACAGTTTTAACATTGACTTTTCTTTGCATGAGAAGAGGCAGAAAGTTAGAATTAGCTAGTGTGGTGAGCCAACAAGACATGCATTTTGCGCCAGGATGTGCGTAATGCCCTCGTGTTGAGTGTTGTTTTTAATAATAAAAAGGTATACAAATATATCACTCTACACAGAACCAGTTTCGGTACTCATCTATTTGATGAGTACCATAAACTCATCAGATCTGAACCGTGTATACCTCATTTGAACAGTTCAGATTTAAAATCTTTAATTAATTATTTTTAAATAGAATAAACTATTTTTTGAAAGAATGATAGTTAAGAGATTATCACTATTTTATAGTCTATACATATTAAAATAATTATTTTGAATAAATAAAAATAAAAAACAAATCAAATCTGAAGCACCCAAATAAGATATAGACGGTTCAAATCTGATGAGTTTACGGTGCTCATCAAATGGATGAGTATCAAAACTAGTTCCCACTCTACACACTGTTCACTTAAAGCTTGACCTAATAGAAATATATTAATTTTATGCAATATTCGTGAAAATTCAGAATTGACGTCATCGATCAAATGCTAGACATCACATGACTGTGCACTAATTCCTGGTTTTTTTCCCTTTAATTTCTAGGAATCATTCCTACCTCTCTCTAGCTCCCTTCAAAATGCTATCCTTCCTCGGTCCTCACAAGTTGCGAAACCTTCTTTCGTTCTTGACAACAAATATCAAAGATGCGTTAAGTTTTTCTTTTTTTAATCAATAAATTCAGCTTTCGCTTTTGGTTCTCTCTTTCCATTTTATTCTTTATTCACCAAGTATTTGGCAGGGGTTTTTTAGACTACTTCCAAGATAAGGAACTATTTCCTTAAAATAATATATATACACGAACTAAAAGAGATCATTTATCAATATCAAACCGCCCATTCACGTGGAGAGAATCAGTAATAATTTATCATCAACCCACCAAGTGGCCGGAAACAAAATTAAAGCACATGAACACTTGTAGATTTTTTATTGCGAATCGGCCGGCCCTTTAGTAATCAAGACAGCCACACAGCAAACCTCAAATTTCTTTCTTTTTAAATAGAAAATTAAAGCACATCTCCTTCGTAATATAAATTCAATTAAATGCCAGCTCTTAATCCTTCACGTGACTCCCGGTTATTGAATACATGTTGTATGAAAGCCGTTACTGGCTAAATGAAGTGATTAATTGACTAATTAAGGCTGTGAAGTGCACTTAACCCCACGCACAGGCTTTGCAGGCCTCACTTTAAGAACTGGATTTCTCTCGAAGAAATTGGTGGGTCTCAGCTCAAACCCTCCACTCAGTGTTGGCATCGTCGGAAAATCTTCCTGGCATGGCACATGATGAAATCCCACCGTGTGCCACAACACTATATCCTTGTTCTCTATATTCCTATTCCTGCACAATCAGTTACTCTCACTGGTTAGTTAACCATAAATATATAACGAACCTGTGATTTACACTTTCTCGTGTCGGTCAAAATCAACGAGTAGTACTGATCAATGTTATATACCTGAGAGTCCAAGTAGCCAAAGTATCATCTCCTCTGCTATGTTCGGCGTACAAGCCACCCGCCCATTTCTCAGACTTGTTGTAAGGAGTGACCATGACGTTATAATTGGCAAAGGCTCCTCTAATCTGTGGATAATCATCTTTCAACAACAGTGGCTGAGCAACGGGGCCTGGGAACAGACGGTACCCGATGTTATTCCCAACCTTAGTCTTCTTATTAGGGTTTACGATTGCCAGTTCGCTTGGCTTCAATCCCACGTTCATCTTAGCATCGGCTTCTGTTTTAGCTGTTTCAAGTGCGACTGTCCAGTAACTTTTCCTCTGTGAACTTTGATCTTTTACTGTGACGGTCTCTAAATTGGTCTTCACAAAGGAATTGGCTTCGCCATCAATGTCGAGATCAAGATGATAGGTCAAGTAGTGGTCGTGGTGCGTCCCGATCGTGTAATCTGCTAGCAGTGTTCCAAATGCATCCTCCTTTATCTGATCCACGTGGGTGTATGATGTCCCCTTGATCCCCAAAACTCCTGTTAGCCCAACCTGCTCCCGTACAGACACAAAACAGCCAGCAGTCATTAATTACAACCACACGTATCTACCATATATGTATCTAGATCACAAGCATTTTTAGTGTTATACCCCAAGTTTGATGGAACCACTGGGCTTAAACTCCCAGTCTATGATGTAGTCGTAGTTGCCCACAGTTGAGACTGTTCTCACCACCAGCGTAACATCTGGTCTAACTTCCGTTATGATCTGTCCAACGCCAAATAAAAAAAA